TAATATCTAGTGAGACTGTGTGATAGGCTGTAGATAATGTTCAAAACACTGGGAGTTAGTCAGTTAGCAGGCAGAGCAAAACGCAAAATCTGTGCACATAAACACCTGCTCTGTTTACACACAAACCTACTGCACCTCCTCAAGTTAGCTCGCATAGTAGTTAGCATTAGCCCAACTGACACATAGAGTGAAAGTTTGCCAGCGAGCTTAATTTCTTGCACGAAATGAACAGAGTTGTGAGCGCCAACGTAAATTTGCATTATTATTTGCATAACCAGGTCATACATATAAGTAAACCAGGTTAACTTAGCAAAGTGCATCACAACTAGTCGGACGTAAACGGCTGTGTAACCCACTGGGCCCAATTAAATTAGCTAACTTTTTCAAATGACATGTTTAACAAGAAATAAAATAGGTTTTATTTCACACTTACCATTGCGTTAGTTTATGCAGTCTTTGGTTGCTATACAAATAAAATTATAACACAAAGGAAACGAATATTAAACCAAACGGCGGGTCCTTTAGCTCGACAGCTAGCTTCACACGAACTTCGTGCACAATCGGCTAGCTCGCTCCTTGTAAACACATGATTGGTCAGCGTTCTTCTTCGTTGGTGGCAGGTTAACAATGTTACACTAGTGCCCCCTCTTGGGTACATTAGAAACAGCTTTTCCTGTAGAAAAAAATAAACACAGACACATAATTTTTAAAATGATATTCTCTCCTGCAGAACAATATGCAAAACTGAAACCCATGTCATGTATAATATCATGGCTTTATTTAAAATCACATTAATACTTTCTTACATTAGATCTTACTGTAATCTTCTACTGGGACAAAACACTTTCTAAAGAAGCAAAATCACTTTATTTATAACACACACACACACACACTCACAGAGAGAGAGAGAGAGAAGACAGAGAGAGGATGTGTGATGCAGTTCCACCTCCACTCCTGACAGCTGATAGTTCGCTGAGTGTTTGCGATTAAGGAGACACACTGGATGCCTCCTTCTAAAATATGCCATGAAATGTAAGTACCAGATGTTTCTTACAAAACTCATACGATGCAGAGAGCAATAAGGAGAGACAAACATAATTGGCTTTGTGGATTTCTGTACTTTAATGAATTGCATAGAAAGTATCTTTGGAAATACTGTTGAAGATTTCATGGCCGTGGCTATTAATCTTTAAAATAATTTAATTAAAGTTTATTGAAGGTTAATGTATTTTGATTGGAGTAATTGCAACTGGAAAAAAAGCTATATTCTAATTGGTTTGTTTCTCCTGTAACTGATTGCTGTGTACTTAAAAAAAAAGTAAACTAAAGCAAAAGAGGTGGGAAAAATACTTAATTTAAAAAAAAAAAACCTCAACATGTCACATGAGGTGAGCATCCCTTGAAGACATTAATTATTGACGACAGCAAAACCAACATCTCACTTTCTCATATAGCTGTCAGGATATCTGCGTGCTGCCTTTCATCTACATTATAAATGTATCTAAAATGGAGATTAATAATAGATTAACTTCTGCAATTTCCAAGATGTCCACTCATCACTAACAGCAACTAAACCTCAGCTACAGATCTGACTGTGGCTCTGCTGAAGCTACACAAAGCTGAGGTTTGATTTTTCACTACAGCATTCACAAGTAAATGTTTATAAAGAGAAAAGGTGCAAACATAAAAAACACTCCGACAGCGAATTTAATTTATAACCTTTAAAACAGACTGATTATTTTGGTTTCTCTTGACCTCCCTCGTTGATTGGATGTCTTTCATTTTCTTGAGAGACTGAAGCAGATGCCATATTTAGGTGGATGCCACAGTGGATGACAAACTGAATTCTCCTGATATAAACGAAAAAATGGATGATAGAGGTGACAATAAGCCAAAGCTCCATGATTCACAAACCCCTGCTTCAAAGTACGAAGACTCAACCGCAGGACAAACAGGTATGAACACAAAAACACAGATGATACGTTGCAGTTGATTGGTAAAGTTTAACCCTTAGTGTGTCTCATCTTTCAGGACCTTTGACTGATGCGAGCAGTTTGTCGGAGCAGATCTCCACCGAGGACACTGAACTATCATCAGCTGACATTTCTGTGAATGGATTCCCACAGAAAACAAAAGGTACAGTAAACTGCTCACATTTTTTGAAAAGCAGTTTTCATTAAGATTTGCTGTTTGTTCATTTTTATGTGCAGGTGCAGAAGCCCCTGTTGGATTTGACTTGCAAAATAAACCAAAGCATGGACCGACCAGAACAGTGCCCATCTGTAGCCCATGTTCTGTGAAGGACAAGCAGCCCAAACCTCTTTGCGCCCTGTTGCCGTCCTCGGTGGAGTCCTGCACTGGCCTTGAAGCGAGCCAGTCATTCACGTCGACCGTCAGGAGTCAAGAAAGCCTCAAAACCTCGACTGTTCACGCTGAGCCGGGTGGAGATGGTAAAGACATACAGTCGTCCTCGAAGGTATTCATAACCTCCCATTAAAGAAAAGGCGACATTCACAATAATCACTCAAATAACTAGAAACTGGAAAAAAAAGTAATAATAAATAAAAATTTGCTAAATTATAATTTTGTGAAATCAGACATTGCTTTTGAATTGTGGTTGAAAAGAATCATTTAAAAAAAATTTAATAAATAAACTGTCCCAGACAAATTAGAGCACTTTGCTGATGAGCAGTGGGCCAAAATCTAAATACCTGTCAACAGGTGCAGAAGTCTGACTGAGAGTTACAGAAAACACTTGATTGCAGTGATTGGCTCAAAGGGTTGTTCAACGAAATATTAATCTACGGGTCCCATCATGCTTGTTTGGTTTTTTCGAAACATATTTCTATTGAACCACAATTCAAAACCAATGTCATTATTTTCATTAAAATTCTATTTATTATTACTTGAGTGACGGCTGTTTTATTCCTTCTTTAATGGGAGGTTATGAATACATTTAACTATTATCTGTTCCTGCTTGATGCCTTCTTTTTTAAAATGCTTATTTCTTTTCCGTTAACCTCTTTTCTTGCTGTTCTTCTCTTTCCTGAGACCTTTGTGCTGCGATCCTTCTGGCCTGCCTCTTCTGCCACCCGCTGGACTGTCTGCTGGCCACGGTGCGGGGGTGTAACGGCTGCATATGGTCGCTGTGCTCGTCCCTGTGCGGCTGCGAACCCGCCACCCTGCAGCCTCTCCTGAACGCCACCGGCCACTGCGACCTCTGCGGGTGTCTGGGGCTTCGCTGCCTCTTGTGTGACTGTCCCGTCTGTGACATTTGCATCCAGGCTACAGAGTGCCTGGACCTCGCCATGGAAATGTCCCAAATGCTTTATCACTGACGCTTGCTGCCAGGAAATAACCACATCTAGACACGAATCAATGTGAATCATTTATTTGTTAAAATCTTCTGAAAGCCAACTTGTAGGGACAGGACAGTCATGTTATTGTTTATGGTTAACAGTCAATGTTAGCACTCGTATATATGTCTGGGTAAGACATGGTTAATATTGTGGAGAGCAGTTACTTGTGAGCAGAAAAAGCTGACCATTGGTACTTAGTTTTACCGAGCTAGGAACAACACAGTGAGCAACATTTAGCCATGGAGTGGGGCTACTTTTAGCTCAAAAGCGCAAAGTACCTGTAAGTTCTGAATGAATTATAAGATATATCACTTTTGATCATCCCAAAAAAAATAAAAAATAGAAACCAGAAAAAAACAAACACAATCTTAGTAGAACATGCTAACCGGTAAAATCACCCAGTGATCACCAAAGTTACTGGAGACAAACAATCACTGACAACACAGATATTAGTCAGGTGAAACTACTTATCAAACTATCAGGTATCAAAAAAATATGTAATGAACAACAGTACTATTGTAAAAGGATAAAATTGTTCTGCATTTCTCACATGGTCTTGCATTTCCATTGACTGAGTGAATATATTCAAAAATAAAACGCTGATTTGTAACTTGTAGCTACGCTGGAAGAATTCCTGCTTTGGCTAACTAGCTGCAGCAGCAAGTGATTTTCCACTGCTTTTTAAGGTTTATTACAAATACATGCGACCTGGGCATTAGCTGTCCACTGTGTGTAATAGTAATAAAAACAGACGAAAGCTTTCATAAAATGCATAGACTGCCATAAAATAAGGTGCAATAAAATTGCTCAAAATAAAATTCTCTTATATACAATATGCAGTAAATATTTCACAATGTGCCAATTCACTTTACAAAGATCCCTTCTGTAGCTGCTGGTGAAACAACCCGACACGGATGAGCATGAGCTGCTATTAACAAACCCTGATTCCAGTCAGTTGACGAAACAAAAACAAAAAAAAACTAAACACTGTATGTTGGCATCTCATGATAAGTTTGTTATGCCAATGTTGTCACGATAAAGAAACCTCACAGCTTTCTCCCCTACAAATAATATAAGCATATAATAAATTCAAGCAAACATTAATATCCCTCTTAAATCTCTGAAGAAATCTATTTAAGAATGTATTATTTAATGCTAGGTCCATGCCTCTAATATACAATATTCAGTTTTAATAAGATTGCATCTATAAACCCAGACATAATTATCTGACCGGCTCCAAACAGGAACAACGATAATCAGGTCTGTATGGCAAAAAAAAAAAAAAAAAATCAAGAACTTATCGTCTTCTGATGTGACGTTTGTTAGTTTTGTTCTTAACTATTTTTACCTTTTTAAGTTCAGCTCTACAGTCCTATAAATAGACCTGTTATTTAAGGATAGACTGCGCTTCCTGACATTCTCGTTCCCCACAGACAGTCTCTGACCGCACAGAGCTCATCACAAGTCCTCGTCCATTTCAAGGCTGCTCCTGCGACTGCTGGTTTTAGAGGCACCTGGTGACAAAGGAGAAAACAGCGGCTCGGCCACCCTCTCAGGCGACAGGGCGCACCCCTCGTCCATAAGAATGTCCCCCAAACCCACGTCGGGGTAGAGCGCCGAGGCCGAGGTGTCGTCCAGCTCGGCAAAGGTCAGGCTGCCCAGGTCCAACGGGCTGCTGATGGTGACTCCTGCGGGAGAGTCCGAGGAGGGCGGGGACAGGAAGGAGGCAGGCAAAGGCTGTCCAATGGCTCCCAAACTGAGGAGGTTGTGGGAGGAGGCTCCTCCTGCGTTGGGAGGTAGAGGCTGGCCGCTCTGTGGGACTGCCTGCTGCTGGAGCAGGGAGGGGTCGGAGCTCAGACCAGAGGACATGCTGGTGGGGGTGGAGAGGCCGTGGAGCCGTGCCTGCATTTCCAGTTCCTGAAAAGAAGAGCAGCACGTTCAGATGCCATGCGATGAAACGACTGACAGTGTTGTTATATCACAACGCTTGGGAGAAGTTTCTCCACTTTGCATGTGAAAAGTCATTTCCTGACATTAAACATTTCCCCAAAAAAGGACATTTTATTTTGAGTGTTAAGTCACCTAAATAACACTGACTGAAGCTGACAAAAAAAAAAAAAAACAGTAATAGGATCTATGTTGCTGGTGAGGCATAACCTAGTTTGTATTGAGAACTGAAGAAAGCAAGATGTTCTAGACTTAAACATCACAGATATAATTCAAGTTCTGATTATACACCAGGATGGACGTGGAGACTAATCACACCTGCTTCTACACAAACTGCCATCATGTGTACACGTATGCTGACATGTTCCACAGCAAGACGAAGAGCTCTTTTTTGTGTTTGCTCAAACAACACGACAAAGTTAAAAAGAAAAAAAAAAGTCATTTACACAGTCCATGTGGATCCTCTCAGACTTGTTTATGTGATAAAATACACATAACATCAATCCTTGCAGACATGTTAATACATAAACTGTCTTTTACTGTCATCAGTCACCACCACTAGAACACTTCTCTTGCAGACAATTGTGGTTTTGTTCACATCAGTGTTCTTTATTTATTCTAAATGTTTCGGAATTAACTAATTATTTTAATTGGCCTGTGATCTTTTTGTTATTACGCCTTTATTACAGGGCATTACTGCGACCAAGTGTCGATATGTGGGACTGCATGTTATAGATAGGGCTGAATACAAAAAAAAAAGATTCTCTCCCTTAGTCATGATTTTACTTGAATAATCTAATATTGATTCTTAAAATTTTAGCTCAATCTTTGTATTTGTGCCTTTTCTTAGGAAGTTACTACATTGTGCACATTGAGGTTATTTCAAGCTAACAAGTGACGTAGACGACAGCTGGTTATATTAGTTGCCTTGAGTCACGTTGGAAACATAATAAACATTTCAGGATCATAAAGTGAAGGCCGACTTAGCAGCACGCAAACTTAAGCTGCAACAAAACAACTGAGTAGAACAAATCTTTAACCGCAGAACTCCCACCACACATTTGCTTCATTATCTCTGTAATAATCTGCAGAACTGTGCATGAAGTCTGTGGTGTGAATGTGCATGTGTTTGCTCGTCAAGCACAACAAAGAAGCAATTACTCTAAAGCAAGCGGTAAAAACATCCCCAGTGTTGCTTAAAGGCGTTTACTCAAATGTGAAGGACGTACTGACCTGGATGCGTAACATTAGACTGTGGTTTGCTTGCTCCAGCTTTTTCTGTCGCATCTCGACGTCCTTGGCTCTCTGCTGCTCCTTCTGTAACTTCCTGATGTAGTCGACAGAAGCTTTCAGAATGGTGCCTTTATTCCAACGCATCTCCCTGTCATTACGGTGAAGTCAGCAAAGAAAGCAACAGAAACAGAAAACAAGATGACATTTTTGTAACAGTTGCAGGGACTCAGTGTTGAAATTCAAACATTATAACTGTATTTAATGATTGAGCAGGAAAAAGTGAACATGGTAAAAACTCCAACAGGACTTACGGGTCACTTGACTTTGGTATCAGAGTACCCAGCTCCTTTATGCGATCATTAATGTTGAATCTCCGCCTCCTCTCAACTGTAGGCAAGTGGGAATCATCAGGAAGAGAGGGAAGGCAAAGGCACATGAGTTGACTTAGCAACAATCAGCTGTCACTAAACAAGCATTATTTGGTAGATATGGACTCAAGCAAGAAAGACATAATTTAGATGCTGTAATCGGGAATCTGTAATGTGTTGTCACATATGCTGTATTCCTGTTGATTTATTTTAAAGGTGGACTTACTGAGGTTATGGTTGTCCTTCTTCTGCCTTTCTTTCATTAGTGCTTTGGCATCTGCATCTGAAAGCCAAATTCATAGTTAACAATATAAAAAGAAGGTATACTGATGGTTCTAAAGAAAGAAAGAAAAAAAAATAAAGTAAGTTAACGTACCAGTAATTTCCCTTTTAATTTTTGGAAGATCAGCAGGGCAGGAGTTGCTGACGGTAAGAGTAGGTGCTGCCATTCCAGGGCTATGGTAGACATCCAACAGATTTCCCGGGAGCTTAACAACAAAAGACATTTTTTGCACGTCATGCACAGTCAGTGTTTGTTATAAACCCTCAAAACATAGCAGGTAAAAAAAAAAAAAAAATCTGTCTTCCCCATTCCTGTTTTAACTGAAAGCAAACCAGTTCTTTCAGTTGAAAACTGATTCACAAGCTGGTTTGTGGTGCATATGCAAACTGTTACAACATGGCCAGCAATACAACAACGTTTTTAAACTACATTTCCTTCCATCTGTATTACATTCTCAGATACTGAAGCTTTCAAAAATGAGAAAAAGCATTTACCTCAAAGTACTTCTTTTTCTTGTCCTCCAAAAGCATCACCATAATCCTCATTTTTTGTCCCACGGCAAAATGTTAGCGAATTCTAGCTGTTCTACAGTTTAGCTGCTACCCTGCTAGTGTACTTTTTATGAGCATAATCCACTTTGTCTTGCCTCTCCTTCTCTAACATCTTCTGATAGTTTAACCCCGCCCAGGCAGCACTTTTGTGATGAATAGTAACTGAGTGCCAGAAGTGTATATTTACTTCTACAACTTCAGAATTCCACACATAAAAGAGACCGTCCATTCACAGAAAGAAGACTCTGAGTATAAAAAGTTAGCGCGACAGAGCTGCCTGATATCCCCGGTGTTATTCTGTGTCTGTGCAGCTAAAGAAGAACCAGCAGACTCCAGAGGAAACTTTAAAAGGGAAGTATTAACAGAGTTGAATAAATACATTGTTCTTCATACCGTGCTTGGCAACTGAAGACCTGAGTCGATCAACGTAATGATGTCGTCATTAAAACTGGATTCAAGACTAATGATGTCGTCAATCACGTCATCAATCTGGATGAAACGGACGAGAGAAACCACATATATAATAAGTCATTTTAAAGTCATCAACGTGTATGTTTACATTGTGTTTTGTAGTCTGAACAGTCTGCACGCCAACACAAAACATTTAACCCAATGTAAGATCTTTAAAGATTTCAAAGAGAGAGATGTGCACAAGAGAAAATGCTGGCATGGTTTAACTGTAGGTGCAGTATTTAACATCTTATTGTGACAACAGGCCAACACGGGTACGATGAAAAGAGGCATGCGCCATTACAGTGGGACCTTTGGGCACATCATTACGAAACAAACAAAAAGTAATTAAGCAAGAAGTGAGCAGAAGGGAAGACATTTAACTTCCCCAAAAATGTGACTTTGCAGTAAAAGGCAACTATTGACAAGGTTGTGTAATCTGCTGTACAAGCAAAAAAAAAAAGCCTGCAGACAAGAAATTAAATCACTGTAACATAGTAAGAGGATCCCATACTTCCTCCTTGTTGGAGCCGATGTTAAGCAGAGCCATAGGACTGTTAGGGGCACTGCTGGCAGTGGGGGCCACTTCAGGGGCAGAACTGGACTGTGGCACTGGGGACACACCCATCGTCTGAGTGACCGCCTTGTTCCCCAGAGTGGTGGAGAGGTACTGCTTCACCTGCTGCCTCTGTGCCTGCTGGATGTGGTACTTGGTGGGGTTCTCCAAATGGGTCTGCACCTGATCATTTAAACAGTTGTTCAGGGTTTGTTTTCAGACAGAAATCCACTGCATTAGATAAAGAATGCAAGTGATACAGATGCAAATGGGTCACTCTTACTTTCAGCACCTCCACGGGCACCTGTGCTGGAGGCGGGCGGGCAGCATTTGGAGGCATAGTGACAGAGATAGCTGGAGTGGAGTCAGAGGCTCGGAGCTGAGAAGCAGAGGCCTGCTGCTGGGCTTCACGTCTCTCCTGCTCCTGAGCTTGTTCTCGCATAAGCTGCTGCCGCAGCAACACACGTGACGACATGGCTGACACAGATCCAGATCAAGGATGAAGCTGGAAATAAAACGCAGTATTCAATATTGTTATTAGAAAACTCAATCCTTGAGACCATCTACAGTAGTATTTGTAACGGCGGTGTTGGTTTCTACAATAGAATTCTAATTCATTCTAACATTTTAAACATCACCTACAACTATTACAATTAAAAATGATGACATTCTTCAGACCTCAGGAAGACTAACTACTTAAAAAATGACAAATAACTGGAGAAAGCTAACACTATACAGCTTTTGAAGTCAAAGCTGACGTATTAACAGGTTCAATTAAGACATTAACGTCTTTTAGGCATTTGTTTTATTGAGAAGTTAACGGAAAAGGTTTTGAAAATCTTTTGTGTGAACCACTGACTCAAGAATACACCTTCAGAATTACAGTCTGTAACGCCCCATTGTCTATTTTACATAGATGATTATCTGAATTTGAGATATCTAAGAACATTGCACATCTTTAACCAAAGCAAAGATCAACTATTATACATCCTGCCTTATAAATATTTATTTTTTTACACCAGCTCTTCAAAGGAAGCTTCTAACAGCCAGGCTGTCAAACTGCTCAAGACCGTGGATGACAAGTCGCTCTGTGGGCATCATCACGAACAATCACTGGTGAGCATACAGGAAGAGAGTCGGCTCGTCCTGCTGCCCTGAATACTGCTAACAAGTAGGAGCCTGACACTGAAAACAGCCAAAAAAAAAAAAAAACACTGCTTACTTTAGCTAATCTGGATACAACTACTCCCATCAAAATTCTACTGCACTTCACTGTCGCAGTATCCCGACACATTCATGGTTAGATCTGCCCTCTGAAGAGATGCTCATGCAGCAGAACTGGACAGAAGTCCATTACACTGTAGATTCATCCTCTACTACTTCAGGCTTCATTGGTATTTTGCTAGAAGGCTACAAATTGGTAAGACAACTATTTTATTTCTTGTGTTTTCCAGCCAACCAACCAAAATCAAGGAAACATGCTCAACAACCATCAGTGGGCTTACAATGCCCTTTCTGCCTATTGTCAACATGTGAAAAAACAAAATCATACTGTCTTTATCCATCAATCCACACATGTGTGGACCTGCATATTGCCATCAGCTGATACTGGCACATAATCTGATAGATACTGTCAGGCATGAGGTCATCTACCTCCTGACACTGGTTTTATTCCTGATAAAGACAGTAACAGGGACAACCGGCTGTAATCTGCTAGTCTTATGGCTTGTGTTAACCCGCTGCTGTAAACTCCACAGACGTCACTACAATGTTTGTAGCAATATGTCTTGTCTTAGGTCTTAAGAGTAGCATAGGGAACTTCCACAGGTCCTGGGATATGTCATCTCCAATGCTTCTTCAGGCTTTGTTTTCCTGCGCTTGCTTCCTGGTGCCTGTCCTCTACATCATATCATCTTCTCTGTATGTTTGGTATAGTTTCACTTTTTACTCAGACAGACATGACCAAGAGTTACTGCCTCTCACACAACCTATATATCACATCTGACCCCTGCAACCGTTCTTAGTGCGTACAATCCTCAGTTTTTCAGCTTTAGGTCACTAAATCCTCCCATGCTACTTACTGTAAGCGAGTGCTTCTTACACAATCTCGCTGCTCTTATAGTGTCTGCGTAAACACAAATGTCAGACTTTGCACGGCGTGGCTGATCAGTGACTTTTCACGATATTTACTCTCAGAGTAAAAAAGGTATTTTCCACTCTGTGTACTCACTACGCTCCCAAAACAAACACAGTCCCCACAATTCAAAACGTGTAGCGACAAGTGCTGTACATGTCTGTGCTCCTCGGGGAATTACCGCTTCTTACAGGGCAGTTATGTAAAAATACTTACAAGTGTCCGCTAAAGGTTGTTAATAAATCAAATACTCTTTCGTTTGGGTAGTCTCAGGTGTCATATATAAAAGTGGATGCTTCGGGTGCTTGCTAGCTTACTTTTAGCCGTTTTCGTAATCTCTATTTTTGGCGAGCCCTGATGTAGCCTCATGAGTTAGCTGGACGCCACTGACAGCTCAGTGCTGCTAACGGGCCCGCGGTGTGAAAAAAAACAATAACAGCTAGTATTTACACGCTTAACAGAAAATTCACAACTACCCACTGGCTGCCAACTAGATAAACGTTTGCTATTTTGAGGATAGTGCTGTTTCGACACGACACAGCCACGGCTAAGTAAATATATTAAAAAAGGAAGTTGTAGCTAAGCTAACTAGCCAGCTAGCACCCGTTGGTTGCCCAACAAGCTAATGCTAAGTAGCAGGATACCTAATTTTAGAGCAAGCATACGTACTTTGGAAATTGGTTTGTTTAACGTTATCACAGCCATAAATCCCCGAAGTCCTCCGCTTTCTTTGCCATTTCTTGAGGTCGGTGAGCACAAACTGAGCAGTCGCTAGCCTCGGCACCAAACACTGATGTTTACCTCAGGCCCACAGCTGAGGTCATCACACGTCTGTTACCCGGAACAGGTTGACAGCTGTGAAGTTACTCAGCTTTCCCAATACAGCTCGATTCCAGGTAGACTGAATAATACGGCAGCACTGAAATACAAACCGGTGCAGCTGGACGACATTAAAATGTCTTATTTTAGCTCACGCAGTATTTATACTAAAAGCAAACCATGGCTTAACAGGAAACTAATCTAGCTAATTAGAATCCTCCATCAAACCAATTACCCTTTCTCTCTGTCTCTCTCTCTCTTTTTTTTTTAAATACATATTAACATTCTGGCAGATTGTAAATCCTGTTTCCATCAAGCAAAACACCAGCTGCCAACATCAAATGAAGACAAAACACAAATAATGCACTCTTATAAACTTTTATTTTAATCTAATCTTAAATCAGCTGTCTGAAAATGAGAAGTCCATTGCAGCAGTCAGTGTGTCTGAGAGTTTGGTGGCAATTTTGTCTGCAGGGGAAACAAAAGGGGAAAAAAATGATCAGTTTCATTAAAACCACACATTACCCTTAACAAGCCTTCATTTGCCCCTTCACACACTAGCAGGCATTTCATTTACTTCAGTCTCCTTAAGCCCTTTTCAGACATGGATGCATAAAACTGCTGCGTCATCAGTCCATTAAAGTGACGGCGTTCAGTCATTCACACATGGATCAATTCTACATTATTGCTCCTCACAGCTTCATGATGTTTGTCTTTAACACAAGATTGGATAGTACATCAAGTGATGTATATATATATAATGCATAATAAGCAAAAGACTAAACTAATAGCAGCTAATCAGACTGTTTAAATAATTAACAGCTTAGTTTGTTTCCTAATCCTTGACGATTCTGCTCATGTTTGATGATAATCTAACAACTACTTTACCAAAATCCAAATATCCTAACAGCTGTAATGGGACTCAACCTGAGGACGGCTGCTACGTAACAAATGATTTAACTGCAGCTTAAACTGCAACTCTGTGTGTGAGGCAGATCCCATTTCTGAGGTCAAGAAAAGCTCACAGTGTGACTTTCTGTTAGATCCTGATTATCCTCAACACGTAGATGGGATCAATCTATAATTCTCAGTAATTAATGAAGTTAAGGGCACTGTTGTTCCATGCGTGTGACTCATTTTGGAGACGCTCATATGGATCCTACAGTTCTTTACTAAACTCAGAGGAAACAGTTCTACAAACAGCTGGAGGCAACCAGGTAAGCTTCAGCTACTGTTTAGGTTTAGTAAAAGATAAAACACAAAATTAAAGAACAGAATTGCATTTACTATTGATAAGCATCATTAATCTGAGCAGTCAGTCTCAGATTAATGATGCTCTGTAAAGGTTTAGTTTATGGATATTTCAGTTTGTAATCACGTTAAGTTGCAATCAAACTAGGAGGAGTCTGAAATAGGTTTACGTTACTCCCTGGAATCTTCCAACGAGTCCCTGGAGTACAGTATCCACAGTGAACTGCTCCAAACTCAGGTGGTCTACTACAACAATTTTTCCAACTTTAGCTTTAGTAGAAACCCAAAGAACTCTCTAACCTGATGGTCCACCATGAGGTTAGAGAGTTCTTTGGGTTTCTGGTTCAACTTTTTTAGATTACAGTAAAATAGATTTTAAATTCTCGTAGCCTAAACACACCAGAGCCACAACAACACACAGTATCAGACCAAGAGTAGTAGTTCTACACACCAGCTCTTTTTTGTTGCTTTTTCCTCTTCTTGCCAGCTGCCAGGAGTGCCTGGCCCTGCTGTAGAGGATCTACATTCAGGATATCCTTCAAATCTGGAGCCCTGGCTGCAGCATCACTTGCAGGCAGGTCGGTTTTCTTCTGCGATTTTATTTCCACTGTCATCGGTCCAAACTATTTTCAGCGGGACAGAAAATAGACAATGCCAAATGTAAAGAAAGCAGTCGAGGTTATTACATCCTGTTCGGTTAACACTAGTGACGCTTTTTCTCACCTCTGGATCCTGATCATCCTCCATAGATTCTGTTCCATCTTTAAATGCTGCTTCCTCCACTAACCCTCCTTCCATTTCCAGTGGCTCACACTGGCCCCCTTGTGTCATTCCAGTGGTTTCCATGCAGAATCCCATTTGGATGTCAGGACAAGATGACTCTGAAAACACAGCAAAAAGCTCATTAATGCCATCTTTCTAAGCTGAGGTCAAAGAAAGGAAGTCACAGAATCATGGAGCTAAAATACAACACTAATATCATGAGCTTATGCTGCACATGCTCATTGTTTTATATTATTGAATTGTTATTTTTCAGTGGTCCTTCTGTGATTCTAATAATTACTGACCTGCAAGAACCTCCTGATTTCCTTTTTCCAGCTCATCCCAGTCGAAGGCTTTACCCATTTCTGTGACAATCTCAGCGCTGACATGTGTGGGCAGAGTGTGTGTCTCTGGTGGATGCGTGAAGTAGCTGATCCTCCCCCTAAATAATAAAACATGGTGAGATTAACATAGTGCTTAAAAATACTGGTGCATTGTCATTTGTAAAGCTTCTAAAATCCTAACTTTTGCTCACCCTGTCCAGTCCATTAACACACTCTTGGCTGCTTTATCAGTGTCAGGCAGTCCGCCTTTTCTTAGTTTGCCTTGTCTTCGAGCAAGCAACGCCAAAAACTCTAGAGCTGTATGAAAGTCTGGAACGCCGTAGTGGTCCATGATCTGTAGAACCAACCAAACTGATGTCACCACATTGAGTGAGTTCCTTCAATATATAAATTGCTGTAGAGGTGACATGACATACCTGTGCCTTGTTGCACCGTCGAAGGATGGCTTCAACAGGTGGGAGCGGATCTACAAGCTGCTCGATTTTCACACAGTTTCGTAGGATCATTGCTGCGTCGGTCGTAGATGTTGCCATGACGATGCCAGGACAGTCCAGAAGCTTGATGTGTTTGTCCAAATGTACCTGTTGAAGACACCTGAAATCCAAACAAGGCCACAGACAGATTTAGCTCTTAAGGAAAAGTGCGTCAATGATTGGTTGTTACAAAACCCCACTGTGAATATCCATCAACTATCCATCCATCCATTATCTATACACCGCTTAATCCTCACTAGGGTCGCAGGGGGTCTATCCCAGACGACTCAGGGTGAAGGCAGGGGACACCCTGGACAGGTCACCAGTCTATCACAGGGCTACACTTAGAGACAGACAACCAAGCACACTCACATTCACACCTACGGACAATTTAGAATCACCAATTAACCTCAACATGTTTTTGGACTATGATTATTTTTTCCTGACAACCAGAAACCACCCAGCACTCTAAACTCTGAAATGATTAATGGAACAGTCCTGGTAAATGGTTATTCACCCGAGTCATTTTTTAGAACAAACAAACATATAAATAAATAAATCACCAACTTATCAAATGTGAATATTTGTTAGTTGTACCAAGTATCTATGAAAGTAACTTTTGCAGGTCTGTTGCTGAAACACACATTGCTTTTTACTCTTACTGCTGTCAGTTTATAGACCAAATTATTAAATAACTGTTCAAAATGTAACTGTCTGACTTATTTATAATGAAAACTATTGTTGGTATTTGCCTCACAGTACTTTCATCACAGACAAATATTGCATTGCCTGAGGTTTTCTGTTTTCTTAATTACTTGGCTCAGTAATTATGTGGACTTGAAAAGACAAGCATAAACTTGAGGGTTTTTTTCCCCCCTGGGCAATTACCCACATTGCCGTCCAGGAAGGGAAACAAGTTTAAATACAAAAAATACGTGGAGTGAGTCACTGTACGAGACATTTACTTACTTGGTGACACCAGGAGTAGCTCCAACATTACAAGCTCGTGCTCGTTTCAGACTGTTGATCAAACTACTCTTTCCCACATTTGGGAAACCTGCAAAATATGAATGAGAAAATGATATTAAAAGAAAAAAAAAGACAATCTTGCATTGTCCTTCATTTTAGTCATTTGTCTACACAGGTTAAGACTCAAGTCACATTTTAATTGTGCTTTGCAGTTGCAATTTGAGGCTTCATGTCTGTTTTGTTCTGTTCTATACATGTGACTACAGTGATTATGTATTGGGCTCTGATGGATTTAAAAAACTGTGTGACCAACTACTAATACTCTGTCTTAATTTACTCTGTGTAGACACAGACAGACTGCAGCTGCTTCTGTGCTGGATACTGGATGTAGCACTTACCTACAACACCGACAGTGATGGCTGTCTTTATATCCAGGTTGCGGCAGTAGTTGCCGAGAAGCTTCATTAAGCAGTCAGCTCCAATACAAGCGCTGCTACTAAGGAGCTCTGTGGTGGCCTGTGTCACTGGCACATTGCTGCGTTTCTGCCCATTGGAGGAAACATAAAATTCTGTATAGTACGATGTAAAATACACGTCTATCAAGCAAGGAGCTTTATTATTTTAATCTTCATCTGCATTTTTTTGAAATTAATAAAACACAAATTGTTCACTACGTACCAAGTTCTTAGCTTGTTGCTGAGTAGATGCTTTGAAAGCCAAAGTGGGAAACTCATTACGAAGATATTTAATCCACTTCTCCACAATTTCCTTTGACACCAAATCTGTAAATCAAAGTAAAACCATTGAATGTCTGACTGATTGATTATTAACACTTGTATCTACTTCTTAATGTTTTTCTTACCAATTTTATTAAGGACTAAAACTATCTTCTTGTTTGTTCCACTCTGAATGACCGCCTGCTCCACCTGAGGACATCTGCAGCCAAGAGGGTCACGTGCATCCAAAACCTCCAAAATCACATCTGAGGCCTCCACCACCTTCCAAACAAATAAATATAAAATCACCAAAAAATAAACATAATAATTCACAGTGTTAAAGCTGACTTGACTCTGATCCATTATGTTTATAAGACAGCTGAAGAAACAGAGATTTAGGATGCAGAAAATTGATTTATGTTTGTGATGAGTTAGCTATGGTTTTCAGTGCTTTAAGAA